GCGTGCCGGGAGGGGCCTCGCCTCCGGCGCCGCCCTCGGCGGAGGGCGGCGGGGGCAGAGCGGCGGCGGGCGCGCTGGCGGAAGGTCTTCGGATGGCGGCGGATGGAGAGTCGAGGCGTCGACACCTGTGGGAGGGAGGGAGGGAGGGAGGGAGGGAGGGGGGAGGGGGAGGAGGGAGGAGGGAGGAGGGAGGAGGGAGGAGGGGGGAGGGAGGAGGGAGGAGGGAGGAGGGAGGAGGGAGGAGAGGGGAGGGAGGAGGGAGGAGGGAGGAGGGCGCCCCTGGGAGAGCGGATGCTGTGGGTCCAGCCTTTCGGGAATCGCCCGCGCGGGGCCTAGCTTTAAGTCGGGACTGTCCCTCTACAGGAGGAAAATTTAAAAATAGTATGGGGACTATGCTTTAAGCATTTTCGAAAATGTTTTGGGATGTATTGGGACATCTTCTATTTTTCGGTGGCCAGCGGTACTTCTAGCAACACGGGATAGGCTGGGCGCCACCGTCATTGCGCTTGCCTGTGCCGAGGACGAGCAGGGGGAGGATGAAGACCAGCAAGGGGCAAGAACGAGAGCATCGCGACCTTACAGGCATCGCAGTGCAACGTAGCACTGGGGCAACAGTGATTGCATCGCTACCTTTACGGCACCATAGTAGAGCGACACCTGTAATGATGGCCCCCGGGCAAAAATGTTGAAGCCCGCGACAGGAAGAAGGGGACCGCGAGGGCCAGGAAAAGTAGGATTTCAGAGGTCTGCTCGGTCGGGGCCGCTCTTGGCGCTCTCCGTGCGCCAGGGAGAGGGGTCCAGCGCCGATCCAAGAAATCCGCGCGGATCTCTGTATGCTAATGTGTATGCTCATTCATGCTCGAAAAACATTGCGAACAACTACTATGAGCAACAACATGAGTAATAATCATCAGAGTGAGGGGGGCGAACGGTCATTCACTGTCCCTGGGTGCGTGGCAGAAGTGGAATTCCACGATGCGGATTTCCGTTGTTGTTGGTGGTGTTGTTGTTGGTGGTGTTGGTGTTGGTGTTGGTGTTGGTGTTGGTGTTGGTGTTGGTGTTGGTGTTGGTGTTGGTGTTGGTGTTGTGGATCGTGTTGCTGTTGTTGCTGTTGTTTTTGCTGCTGCTGCTGCTGTTGTTGTTGTTGTTGTTGCGTGTTGTCTTTGCTGTTGTTGCTATTGAGTGGTAATTACTAAACACTGATTATTGTTGGACACCTTAAAGGCGCCCTGGCGCTCTCGCCGAGGCGCCGGCTACATTTACATTGAAATGAGGCTCACGCTCAAGCGGTTTGGGGGACCGCCAAAACTGACCCCCAACAACAACAACGCTCCCGCTCGAGACGTCCTCCTTTTTTACTCAGGGCTGGTGTTCTTGCTCGCCGCCGAAAGCCTCGGAGGTGTTTGCAAGACCTCATTGGGCGGGAGATCTGGGAATGGGAACAACGGACCCCGCTATAGAACAAGAGTCCCCCATTGCGTGGATGGTTATCATGATGGTCGCCAACAACGCTCCCGCTCGAGACTTCCTCCATTTGTTACTCAAGGCGGTGCTCCTCCTCGCCGCCGAAAACCGCCGTCCCGACAAAACCAGCGCTTCCGCCCATGACTTCCTCCCGTTTTACGCTGGACTGGTGCCCTACTCTCTTTTGAATTTGCGCCGCTCCCAGCAAGAACAACGCTCCCGCTCGAGGCTTTCTCTCTTTTTCTTCGGGACGGTGCTCTTGCTCGCCGCCGAAAGCTGCCGTCCCCAAAAAACCACGGCTCCCGCTCGAGACTTCTTTCCTTTCTTACTCAAGGCGGTGCTCCTCCTCGACGCCGACAACCGCCGTCCCAACAAAACCAGCGTTCCCGCTCGAGACTTCTTTTTGTTTTATGCTGGACTACCGCCCTACTCTCTTCAGCATTTGCTTCGCTCCCAGCAACAACAGCGGCCCGACTCGAGACTTCCTCTCTTTCTATTCAGGGCCAGGTCCTTGCCTCGCCGCCGACAGCCCCCATCTCCACCAAGGCAATCCTGTCGCTCGATACTTCCTTCTGTTTTACCCTTGGTTGGGGCTCCACTGGCGGTCTCGCATCGGCGCAGCAAGGCGCGGGCATGCGTTTTCGAGGCGTGATATATTGAATTTCTTCGGAGGAGGTGTTTGCAAGACTTCACTGGGCGGGATAATTTGGAATGAGAATAACGGACCCCGCTATAGAACAATAATCCCCCATGATGGGGATGGTTATCAGGATGTTCCCATGCTTCGTGTGGAAACATCGCGCATGAGAGTACACTGTTTGTTGTTGTTGCTGTTGCTGTTGCTGTTGCCGTTGCTGTTGGTGTTGCTGCTGCTGCTGTTGCTGTTGTTGTTGTTGTTGTTGTTGTTGTTGTTGTTGTTGTTGTTGTTGTTGTTGTTGTTGTTGTTGTTGTTGTTGTTGTTGTTGTTGTTGTCATTGTTGTTGTTTATGTTGCGGTTTCTGCAGTTATTGCTTTTGCTGGTGTTGTTGCTGCTGTTGTGTTGTTGATGGTGGTGGTGGTGTTGTTGGTGTTGTTGTTGATGTTGTTCCTGTTGCTGTTGCTACTGCTGTTTCTGTTGCTGTTGCTGATGCTGTTGCTGTTGCTGTTGCTGTTGCTGCTGCTGTTGCTGTTGCTGCTGTTGCTGTTGTTGTTCATCATGACGCTACTTAGGGCCTGTTGCTCGACCCCCCCCTCCCCGAGCAACGCCACGGGGCCACGCAGGGGCCCTGCCAGGCCCCTCCCCGGAGCAACGCCACGAGGCCTCGCCGAGCCCTTGCGGGGGCCCTGCAGGCTCCCTGTGGCGTTGCTCTCGGGGGGTCCCTTCGGGGCTGCTGCGAGGCTCTCGGGCGTTGCCCGGGAGGCCCTTGCGAGGCCGTATGGGATCTGCATCGGATCCCTTACAAGGCCCACGGGATCTGTATGGGGTCCAGTTCGGCACACCCCTCAAACGCTTCGTTGCCCCAGTGGGCTTCACCGAAGGATTGGGACAATCTCGGCACACCCCTCACACGCTTCGGGGTTCCGCCGCAGGCCTCGGGTCCAGTTCGGCACACCCCTCACATGTTTCGTGGCCCCAGTGGGCTTCGCCGAAGGTTTCGGGAGAATTGCGCCTACACCTCACACGCTTCGTGGCCCCAGTGGGCTCCACCGAAGGTTTCGGGCGAATTTCGGCACACCCCTCACACGCTTCGCGGCCCCACAAGGGGGCTCCACCGAAGGCATTGGGTCCAGTTCGGCGCACCCCTCACACGCTTCGAGGCCGGGCTTCACCGAAGGATTCGGGTCACTTTCGGCAAACCCCTCACACGTTTCGCAAGGGTCCTATAGGATATAGGATCCCTACAGGGTCCGTAGGGATCCTAGAGGATTCGTCGAAGATGTCTACAGGATCCGATCGGATTCCCATTGGATTCGTATAGGAGTCCTTTAGGGTTCGTAGGTATCCTACAAGATTCTTGTAGGATTCTTGCAGGGTCCTCCAGGATTCCGTAGGATCCGTATAGGAGTCCTTGAGGGGTCGTAGGGGTCCCATAGGATTCCTACAGGGTTCCTGCAGGGTCCCATGGGATTCCCATCGGATTCGTATAGGAGGCCTTTAGGGTTCGTAGGGATCTTTCAGTATTCCCACAGGTTTCGTGCAAGGTCCTACAGGATCCCCACAGGATTCGTTTAGGAGTCCTTAAGGGATTGTAGGGGCCCCATCGGATTCCTACAGGATTCCTGCAGGGTCCCCTAGGATTCCAATCGGATTCGTACAGGAGTCCTTTAGGGTTCGTAGGGATCCGATCGGATTCCTATAGGATTCCTACAGGGTCCTACAGGATCCCCATAGGACTCGCAGGCGTCCTTTAGGTCTTGTAGGGATCCTACAGGTTTCTGATAGAGGAGGAGGAGCTCGCTTCGCCGGCGCGCGCACGGTCTTCGCACACAGGAGTGCGTGGAAGACAATAATGGAGCTAACGTAGATTCGGGAACGCGAGTAGATTTACGTAAGTGTATGGCAGAGGTGTTGCGCGTTGCTGCCCCCCCTCCCCTCCCCTGGGGCAACAACAGCAACGTTTGGCCCAGGAGGGTGCGCTCGCCCTGCGGGCGAGGACGCCACCACGGGACCAGCCGGCGTGGCCTGAGGGGTTGTCCTTGCGTTGTTGTTATTTATCATCATCATTATCATCATCATCATCATCATCATCATCATCATCATCATCATCATCATCATCATCATCATCATCATCATCATCATCATCATCATCATCATCATCATCATCATCATCATCATCATCATCATTATCATTATCATTATCATCATCATTATCATTATTATTAATACCATTATTATTATTCGCCGTCGTCCCCACCGCGACGAGGCCCGCGACCGACCCGCGGCCCACCCCGTGACCCGCCCGCGACCCACCCCGCGACCCACCCGCGACCCACCCGCGACCCACCCCGCGACCCGCTCGCGACCCACCCGCGACCCACCCGCTTCCACCCGCGACCTGGCCCGCGACCCACCCGCGACCCACCCACATTGTTTTAACAAAAAATTGGCACCTGCGGCGGGCTCACTGTATAGCTTGAAGGATTATGCTCCTGCGGCAGGCTTCTTGAGAGCCTCGCAGACTGCCGACGTCTCCGCCGCCCCTTCATTCTTATCCGCAACTGCGGGGGGCTACGTACTAATGAGGAGGAGGAGGAGGAGGAGGCAGAGGAGGGGAAGGAGGAGGAGGAGGAGGAGGAGGAGGAGGAGGAGGAGGAGGTGGACAAGGAGGAGAGCGACCATATTTTTCCGAGGGGCCTAGTTTCCAGTTTCCTCGATTTAATCAAGTGCGTTACGGAGGAATACAAACTGTTGTGCGCGCTGGCCGCAGTATCCGATAGGGTCTCGAATGCGTTTCACACGGTTGTCCACGGCTGCTTTGAATCTAGCTTGTTTTTTGCATCAACTGATTTTCAGTGATGATGTCCTCGCCAATCCCCATGGTGGCTCCTGTGGCCAGATCTTCGAGGCCGAGATGCCCCTGCTCCTCGACTCCGACTTCCAGGCCCGCTGGTCTCTGCCACTCGCCGGCGCGCTGCCGCCCGCGCGCCGCCGCTGCTGATGGCGACACTTTCGGCGACGGTGGCGGCGACGTTGACGGCGGCGACGGCGACGGAGACGGCGACGCTGGCGGCAGAGGCGACGATGGCGGCGTCGGCGGAAACGAGACGCTGGCGGCGACGGCGGCGACTGCAGCGACGGCGACGCTGACGGCGATGGCGACGACGGCGACTGCGACGGCGACAATGACGGCGTCGGCGACGGCGGAGGCGACGATGGCGGTGGCGGCGACGACGGCGGCGGCGACGGCGTCCGTGACCCAGATTCGCGGCGAGCGTGCGCCCGGCGGAGGCTTCTCTCTCCTGGAGACGGGTGCGGCGGGCGACGTCCGGCAGAGGCCCACCGGTGGGCCAGTTTCGGGCCTCTCGGGGGGCCTTCGGGCGGGCTTCGGGGGTCCCTCAGCGGGGCCTCCGGGGACCCCCCGTGGCCTGGGTCAGGGGCGTGTCGCCCGCAGGCACGGTGAAGCTTTTCATGCACACCCTGGGACGGTCCTCACACGCCTAGCCGTGGTGGCCACCCACTGCAAAGGTCAGTGGGTGCCGCGGCTGCGGAGCAAGGGAGGGAGGGAGGGACTAGGGAGGAGGGAGGGAGGGAGGGAGGGAGGAGGGAGGGAGGGAGGGAGGGAGGAGGAGGGAGGGAGGGAGGGAGGAGGGAGAGGGAGGGAGAGGAGGGAGGGAGGAGGAGGGAGGAGGAGGGAGGGAGGAGGGAGGGAGGGAGCCACCCCGCAGCGCCGGGCAGCTCGGCCGGCGAGGGCGCGCGGGGGCGGCGCTGGCTAGCGAGTGTGGCGCGCGCGCGTCCCCATGCCAGGCGCGACACCAGCGCGCTAGGTTGCTGCGAGCGCGGGAGGGAGGGAGGGAGAGACTAGAAGGACGACGAGGGGGAGCATCATCGGTACCGAACGTCACGCCAGCAGCTCACAGCAGGAGCATGCAGGAGGAGGAAAAAGAGGAGGAGGAGGAGGTACGAGTTGGAGGGGGACGAGAAGGAAGAGGCGCCCTGGCCACACGCACTCCGCGTGGCATGCTTCCGCGCCGCAGCGCAGCGCGCGCGTACACGGCGCCATGATCGCTTGCCTAAGCCAGGGGGGCATGAGATGGTCTGGCGACGGCAGTCAGCCTTTCTTCATCTTTCTCTCTCGCGCTCTCTCTCTCTCTCTCGCTGTCTGCTGTCCGTCTGTCGTACGCTGTAGTGGCCGCGCGCCGAGGGGACCTCCCGTAGGACCCTCGCCAATCGCCCGCCCTGGCCACAAGGGTTCAGCGCGCGTGGCGCTGATAGCCGCGGCGCTGGAACGAACTGTCGTCTGCGTCGGTCTCTCTCTCTCTCTCTTTCTCTCTCTCTCCCTCTCTCTCTTTTTGTCCCTCTCGCTTTCTTTGCTGTTGTTTGTTATATGGTTTGTTGATTGTTTTTTTTTCTCTCTCTCTCTCTCTCTTTCGCTCTCTCTCTCTATTTCTATATATACACATCTCTAACGCGGCCCCTTTTTGTTCCTCTATCTGTCTCTTTATCTCTATATTTCCATATGTGTGACTGTATATACGTATGTATGTTTGTATGTAGGTATGTATACATGTATATATGTGGGCAGCCCCCCTGCACCCGTTCTCACTAGCATTCACTTACGACAGCATTGCTGATCCTCTTCTTCTTCTCCTCCTCCCGTCTTTTCTGTCTTTCTGTATATATATATATATATATATATATATATGCCTCTCTCTCTCTTTCCATTTCGCTCTCTCTCTCTCTCTCTGTCTCGTTCTCTTTCTCTCTTTCGCTCTCTCTCTCTCTCTCTCTCTTTCTCTATTTCTCTCTCTGTCTGTCGCTTGTGTGCCTCTCTCTTTCTCTCATTCCCTCCCTCTCTCTCTCTTTCTTGTTTCTCTCTTTCTCACTCTCTCTCTCTCTCTCTTTTTCTCTCTCTCTCTCTCTCTCTCTCTCTCAGACACTCAACACAATCCCCCAGAAACACAAGGTTTGCCATGTCAGGGATGCGACAGACCTGCGTTTTCATCCGGATGTCAGGGATTTCTGGGATGAGAAGTGAGGAAACCATGTATTTTCATTTGGATGTGTCTGTGGTTTTTCTGTGATGTTCCAAACTCCACCGAAGATCAAAGCCAGAAACCCCCCAGGAGCTCCGACCCTTAGAATTCCTTAATTCCAAACGAATATCATGCAAACATATGGTTTACATATTTTCCATCCCAGGAATCCCAAACATCAGCTTGAAAACGCAGGGTTCCCCCACTCCTGACATCGCAAACCTTGTGCTCACAGTGATGTCTTGGATATCTGAGATGAAAGGCGAGGAACGACATGTGTTTTCATTTGATGTTTTAGATGTCTTGGATTCTTGGGACCGGAGCTCCTGGGCTCCTAGGTTCGATTTTCGCTGCAGGGAGGCACATCCCGCAAATCCTGCACACCCCAATGGGAACACAAGGTTTCCTCACTTCTCATCCCAGAAATTCCCAACATCCGAATGAAAATACAGGGGGTCCGCACCCCTGACGTGGCAAACCTTGTGCTTAAACATGGTTTTGTTAGGTGTCTGGGAGAAAGAGAGAGAGAGAGAGAGAGGGAGAGAGAGATGGAGAAAGAGAGAGAGAGAGAGAGAGACAGAGAGAGAGAGAGGCGGAAATCCACAGTACAGTTCTGATTACACTTGAAGTGTTGCGGATCCCAGACTCAGCTGATTCTAGTTGTCTTCCCATTGGAACTTGTTAGAATCCAGTAAGAAATTGAGCAGGTTCCAGATCCAGTTGGTTCATGTTGTATTCCTATTGGGATCTAGTTAGAATCTCATTGGATTTGAGCAGGTCCCAGGCCCAGCTGATTCCAGATGTATTCCTGTCAGGATCTCACCGACATGGAGCAGATCGCAGATCCAGCTGATTCCAATTTGATTCCTAGTGGGATTAAGTTGAATGTAAATTGAATTGGGCACATCCCAGATCCAGCTTAGTCAAATCGGGGTTCCTATGACCGGAGCAGATCCCATATACAGTTGTTACCAATTGAATTCCGCCTGAAAACATCGAATTTGAACTCCGCAGATTTATTCGAATGAGGTTCTTACAAGGATCCAATTCGAATCGAATTGGAATTGAGCAGATCCCAGATTCAGCTGATTCTATTTAGAGTCCCATTCGGATTTAAGTCACATCGAATTGGGGTAGAGCGGATCCCAGGTCCAGCTGATTACACATTGATCCCCATTGACATCGAATTGGCATCTAATTAGACTTGCGGAGATCCTAGTTCCAGTTGGTTCTAAGTACAGCGCGATAAAACAGGGGAGAAATGATGACATGGAAACATGGATGAGCAGGCACGGATCCGAAGAAGGCAAATGACAAGAAAGAGTACGAAAGAAGAGCTCCAAAACCGATGCAACATTAATGGGTGTTGAGGGGGGCTGCGCACGCAGACACACACACACATATGTATGGACAGTTTTCACAACGTTAAGCAGAGCCCTGGGTTGAGAGTGCCGCACTTCTCGAATGCCAGCCCGTGCCTGCCGCTGGCATCTGTGCTCAAGTGCATTGAGTGTGGCCGCTCGATGAGCTTCGGCGGGTGGCTCGCGCAGGAGTCCCTGCACACCGTGTCGCAGGGGGCGCTCCTGTGGGCGGCGCGGGCAGAGTGCCCGCCGTGCACCTGCAAGCCCTCGTTGGTGTGCGGCGCGGGCCAGGAGGCCCTGCGGCTGGATTGCCCGGCGCCGGCAAGGGCCTGGCCGCTGTCGGCCGTGCTGCTGGCCCTGGTCTGCGGACTCGGGGCAGGCGCGGCCTTGGGGCGGCTGCTCGCGCCGCCAGCGCCGACCCAGACGGCTACCCGATTCGAGAGGCTCGAGGAGGAGGCCCGTGCGCAGGTCGCCCTCGTGAGGGCGCGGCTGCAGAGCCAGTGGCTCGATGTCCGCGGCGGCCGCGGCCGCCGCGGGCCATCCCCTCGCCACCCTCGGGCTTGACGAGGGCGACCTCGTGCTGATCAGGTACCAGGTGGGAGGAGCGCGGATCTGGCATGAGCGCCTCCTCCTGGCTTTCCAGGCCACCGCCCCCTTCGGCTCGGGCATCTTGACGCCGGACGGGCACGGGCACGTCGAGGCCATCACCACCGGCGGCATCGACGTCGCGGACTTCTGTGTCCCCGCGGGCGGCGCGGCGGGGGGTGCCTCGGCAGCGACGGGCGGCGATCAGGTGTACCGCTTTCGGGCGCTGCCCCTGCCTGCCGCCGTGGCGGACGCCGCCAGCTCCACCCGAGCGTCGCTCGGCCTGGCCCCAGGCCCCCCAGTGGCCATGAACACTGCCGGTCGCGTCATCGTCGCCGTCGTCGCCGCGGCGGCCGCTCCCGTCGCCAGGGGCGCTGCTGGCGGCCCTGCGGCTGGGGGCTTGGCGGGGCTCGCGGCGGCGCTCGGAGGGGGGGCCCCTGGGGCCAGAGAAGCACCTGCTGCTGGAGGTGCCGCCGGCGCCTTGGTGCCCGCCGCTGCGCCCGCGGCGGCCGCGCCTGGAGGCGCCCTGGCGCCGATGGTCGCGGCACCAGCAGTTGGTGCCCCTCAGGCAGCGGTCCCTGCTGCTGGCGCTGCCCCGGCCGCCGCCCCGCTGGCCGCCTTGGCTGGAGCGCCCGGCGCTCCGTGCCTGGGCGCGGGCGGCCTGGCGAACGCTCTCGCGGCGGTCGCGGCAGCCCCCGGCGGCGACGCGAGGATGCAGGCAGTCGTCCTGGACCCACAGGGCGTTCGCTACATCGACTTTAGGGCTGCGGTGATGCGCATGCACGAGCTGCCGTGGGCCGACTGGCCCCTCAAGGGCCCTCGTACTCTGCTGTGGGCGTTGAACTACATACGCCGCAATGGAGGCACACCCCTCGGGCGACATCTGAAGTGGAAGGCCGAGGCGTACCTGGACGAGGAGGACCCTGGCGTGGACGCACACCTCTTGTGCTGCAGGTTGCTCGAGTACGGCGTTGTGTACGATCAAGTTCATGCGACGAACTTGGCCCCCATGGAACTGGTCGGCCGCACGCTGCAGACCCAGGAGGAGCTCTACCGAGACAGGTTTGCGCCGTCCTCCGAGCACGGCAACGACGCTGCCCTGCTGTCCGGCGTCCAGGACGCTGGCGGCAGCATCTGCATGGCCCCGGCGCTGCGCGACTGGCTGGCGGCCGAGAAGTCTCGTGAGGCGGCCATCGCCAAGGAGAGGCGTAAGGCTCGGGAGGAGCGTGCGCTGGCTGCTGGGACTGGCGCTGCTGGTTCCGGCGGCGCCGACGGGCGCGGCGGCCGCGGCCGTGGCGGCCGGGGCCGCGGGCGTCGAGGCCGTGGGGGCGGCGGAACCCCCAGCGGGGATGCTTGAGACGAGCCGGGGGGGGGGCAGATGGGCCAGCCTCTCCCTGGGACAGCAGTGCGGCTCAGACCGCAGGCCCCCGGCCGCGTGGGACTGGTCGCCAGCGCGACGTTTTCCGCTGCCGGTCTCGCCGGCTGCAGCTCCGCGCGGGGTGGAGCCTGTCGGCCGCCGCTCAGCTCGGCGCAGTGGTCTTCGCGCCCATCGTGAAGATCGCGTGCGGGCCGCCACCAACGCACTGAATTCACTTGGCTTCGAGTCCTCGCCCACTGCTCCGGCACGCGAAGGGCAGCGCCAAGCCATCATGCACATCGAGAGCAACATCAGGGAGTTGGGCGCACCGCCGCCCGAGTTCACCGACATTCGTGCTGCTCAAGACGGAGCCCTCCGAGAGCTCCTCTCCTGCGCCAACCTGCACGGGTCTGGCGCCGCCTCGCCATCTCCTTACGTCCGCGATCGTGTCGCATGGCCCGCTGGTAGTGCTGCGCCCGTCGACCTGATCGACCTCGCGCAGCCTCAGGACAGGGCGTGGCTGGAGGGATGGCGGAGCCATATGTTCCGAGATCGGCACTCCGCCGAGGCCTTGGCGCAGTCAGCCTGCCCGCGCGGGCCCTACTGCGACCCGGGCCTGGTTCGTGACGCGAGTATCTACGGCCAGTTTTTGATGCAGATGTACCAGAGGCAGATGGTCACCTTCGCGGCGGACAACGGCCTGCCGCACTCCGTCGGCCTCTTTTTCGCCCCCAAGAAGTCGGGGGCCCTCCGAATCATCTTCGACACGAGGGCCGCCAACTGCAAGTTTTTGCATTCGCCAGCTACCAGGCTTCCTTCTGCCGCGTCGCTCGGAACTATCGAGGCCCCCGCCGATGGCATGTTCATCTCAACGTGCGACCTGGAGTGCGCGTTCTACCACATGCGGCTGCCCTGCGGGATGGAGTCGATGTTTACCTTGCCTTCGATCTCGGTGGCCATGCTACAGGAGATGGGCTTAATCGACTTGGGTTTCGACCCGTCCACGCGCGTGGCGCCCATGGTGACTGTCCTCCCGATGGGTTCCTCGTGGGCGCTGCACTTCTGCCAGTCTGCAGCGCGCGCAGTCCTAGCTGCGAGCGGCCGTGAGAGGACCAGGACCGCGCTGGGCGGCCAGCCTGGCGCGGTGGTCACTGACCCCGTCTCTGTTGGCGTCGGCGCCTACGTCGGCAACATCTTGGCCTTCGGCGCTGACGAGAGCGCGGTCGACCGGGTCATGGCGCAGCTCGTGGCCGCCTTTCGCGCCCGAGGGCTGCCAGTGCGCGAGATCGAGCCCGCCGCCCGGGACGCGGAGTTCTTAGGCCTCAGCCTGAAGCACGGGAGGTTCCTGCGCATCAAGCCGCGCAACTTCTGGCGGCTGCACGCAGCGATCTCAGGGCTCTTTCGTCGGGACTGGTGCAGTGGCCACATGATGCGGGCAGTTTTGGGACGCGTCACATGGTCATCGATGATACGCCTCGAAGCCCTCACTGTGCTCCACAGCGTCTACAGCTTCGCGGCGGCGCACGGCGAGAGGCAGGGCAGGATATGGGCGTCAGCGGCAAAGGAGCTGGTCACCATTCGGGATTTGCTGCCCCTCCTGTCCTGCGACCTCGCCTCTGGCTGGCATCGTGCGATGGCGGCCAGCGATGCTTCGCCCTTCGGGCACGGGGTGATGCGGCGCCGCGCACCTCGCGCCGTCTGCGCCGCTATGGGCCGTTGCTCAGAGAGGTGGAGGTTTAAAGTTGAGGGCGGGCACCAGGCCCGCATTCGGTCACTGCGAGAGGGCGGTCTAGACCAGCCCAGCCCTGTGTCAGAAAATGTGGCCATTGCTAACTGCCACTCTACCTCGGAGCGCTCGAAGCCTAGTCCAGCATGACAGCCCTGCGGGCCTCCATTCACGTCCGCCGCTTTCGGGTGCATTCGATGCCCGTCGCGATCCACAAGGCCAGCACGGGGACCCTTACGGGGAGCTCATGGGCCAGCATGTGGACCCCTACGAGGAGCTCACGGGCCAGCACGAGGACCCCCACGACTCCATGGGCAAGCAGGGGGTCCCTACGAGGAGCTCACGGGATTCAACGAGGTGCTCGCTCAGCCTCCCAGTGGCGCCACGTGGGCTCATCCTGATGCAGTCTTGGGCGACCCCTGGGAGATGGACGAGGTCCCCGGCCATGCTACTCGGGAGGACGCTTGGGGCTCGGTGTCAGCCCAGTCGGTCTCTACGGGGGCCAACATACTCTACTTGGAGGGGGAGGCTCTGGTCACATCGCATCGGCATCAGCTCCGCAGTTTGGGCGCTCATGGGGCACGCTTGGTCGCGCTCGTCGACGACCTCCCGCTGGCTCTCGCCTGCGCGAAGGGGAGGGCTCGGTCATAACATTTGAGGTCGTGCTTGAATCAGTTGTGTGCGTTGTCGCTCGCCACGGGCTCGAGGGTCTTCGTTCGCTGGATCGCCTCAGAGCGCGACCCAGCTGATGCCCTCAGCCGAGGGAAGCTCGGCTGGTTCAACGGCCATCGTCAGCTCAGTCATGCGAGGGCTCGCCATGGGCGCCGCGGCGCTCGTGCTGCTGTTCGCGCGCCTGAGCGAGGCGCGGGCCATGCCGCGACGGGCGGGGCCTACGCCCTCAGCCCGGGCGCGCCGCCGCGCGAAGCTGGCGTCGGCAGCGGCACGCGGGCGGACGCTTGTGGGCTCCATGACGCTCCTGGAGCAGCTGGCGGTGCGGCCGACCACGGAGGCCCTCTATCGCCAGCTCCGGCAGACGTTCATCGCGCACTGCTCGGACCGCCGCCGGGACTGGAGCAACCTGCGCGAGTTAGACGACCTGCTCGCCGAGTGTTTCACCTCTCGGTGCATCTCGGGGGCGGCGGCGAGCGTCGGGTCGCAGACTGTCGCGGCGCTGGCGCACTTCACTCCCGGGCCCCCGAGGCAGGTGAGCTCGCTCCTGCCCCGCGCCTCGCGCGCGATGCAGGCGTGGCGGAGGCGGGCCCCAACCCTCGCTCGGTTGCCGATCCCTCGGGCGGCCATGTTTGCGCTGGCTGGCGTCCTGATTGCCTGGCGGCAGGCGCCCATGGCAGCGTGGCTGACGATCGCGTTCTCGGCGTACCTCAGGCCCGCCGAGGCTCGGCGGCTCACGACGGACAGCATTGTGCAGCCGTCAGCGCTGGCAGGTCCAGCTTACCAGTTTTGGGGCTTCCTGCGGCGCCCGGCGGACCGCGGTCAGGCGGGCAAGACGGGCTCCTTCGACGAGTCGATCCTCTTCGACCTCGACCTGAATTTGGCGCCGGTGCTCATGGCCCTCCGTTGCAGAGGGGGCCCAGGCACGCCGTTGTGGAGCTTCTCCCTCTCGGAGCTGAACAGGATGTTCGCGCTGACAGCGGTGGCGCTTGGGATCTCCCAGCTGCGCCCTCACCTTTATAGCATGCGACGCGGGGGGGTGAGCGACGATTTGTTGTCCCAGCGGAGGTCGCAAGAGCAAGTCTTCCGACGGGGGCGCTGGGCTGCGCCGTCCTCAGTGAGGCGGTGCGCCAAAGAGACGGCCCTCTTGCGCGAGCTGCAGGGGGCCCACCCAGACGTGTACGCGTTCGGCGACCTGGTCGCGCAGAACTTCTGCCCGCTGGTCGAGAAGGGCTTCCTCGGCGCCGGGCTGCAGCAGCTCATCCCGGCCAGCCTGGCGCCCGCCGTCCTGTCCGGGCCAGACAGCAAGCCCAGGCGGGTGAGGCGGCGCCCTGCCGGCCGCGCCTGAGCGCGGCCAGCCCTGCCGGCAGCGCCGCTGGCGCCTGCTCTGAGCGGACCCAGCTTTCATTGCGTGGCTCCGAGCGTGCCGATCACCTGCGGCGACGCTTCAGAGCTGCTGTCAGCCGCGGCCCCCTGTGCCGGCGGTGCGTCGTGCTGGAGCTCTTCAGCGGCGGCGGGAATTTCGCAGCTGCCGCCCGTCGCCTGGGCCTCTCGGCGCTCGGCTTGGACGTGCGGCAGTCGCCTCTGGAAGACCACCTCTGCCGCGACTTCGAGCGGGTGGTGACCGGCTGGCTCCGCAGCCGCGCAGTCGCGGCGGTCTTCCTCGGAACGCCGTGCACGACGCGGTCGCGGGCTCTCCGGAAGCCGCTCAGGACACGCACCCAGGCCATGGGCATCAGCGGCCTCTCGACCTCTGAGGCCACGAGGCTGGCCACAGGCAGCGCTTCTTTTTATTTCACATGCCGCATCATCCGTTTGCGCTGCACGCTTAACATACCAGTGCTGCTTGAAACTCCCGCCAGCTCTTTAATGTGGCATGTCAAGCCTCTTGCGTCCCTCATCATCTCAAAGAACGCTCGTGTGTGCGATTTTGACCAATGCCAATTCGGGACCTCCTGGCAGGAACGCACTAGGATCGCGGCTTGGCAGACGGGGCCGCTCTTCGGTCTCGATCGGCTCTCTGAAGGCCGCAGGGGGATTTGCTCTCGCACTGGCAACCGACACACAATTCTCACAGGCCAGGCCCCTGAGGGCTGTAAATGCACTGCATTGGCTGCCGCCTACCCCGCTAGACTGCGCACGGTGTTGGCTAGAATTGTCAGAGACGCTGTATTGCAGAGGCCTAGGCAGGCCATGGCTGACTTAGTATGCAAGTCGCCGTCCTAATCACATCGAGCTGCCTTTTAAACTCTTCGGCCCTGTCGCTACAGCTCCCTGGCCAGTACTTCCTTCTGGGTTTTGGGACCTCATCTGTATGTGCCTCGCCTGCTGCACGTTTCGGTGGTCAATGCCTGTACCTCTCGTCTCCGGCAGTCTATCCTGCCGGCGCCTGGCTCGTGCTTCACACATATGATGAAGAAGAAGAAGCGAGTTGCCCAATCGTCGGTCACGTCTGCTGCTGTCATCATTTCTGTTCTGGCACTCGTCGAATCGGGGCGGGCTGGGCAGTTTTCACAACGTTTTGCAGAGCCCTGGGTTGA